TGGAGTTTGGTGAGCTCTTTATAGATTTTGGATACTAGCCCTTTGTCCGATATGTCATTTGCAAATATCTTTTCCCATTCCGTTGGTTGCCTTTTAGTTTTGTTGATTGTTTCCTTTGCTGTGCAGAAGCTTTTTATCTTCATAAGGTCCCAGTAATTCATTTTTGCTTTTAATTCCCTTGCCTTTGGGGATGTGTCGAGTAAGAGATTGCTATGGCTGAAAGAAGGAAATATTCTAAAGGTAGTTCTGTATGTGATTGAATCACCTATAAATTGCTACCTAACGAATCATCCCAAAATTGAGTAACTTATTTTTTTTTTTTGATGTTTATTTACTTATTTATTTTTGACAGAGACAGAGCACAACCTGTGAGGGTACAGAGAGAGAGAGAGAGAGGGAGGGAGGGAGGGAGACACAGACTCAGAACCAGGCTCCAGGCTCTGAGCTGTCAACACAGAGCCAGATGTGGGGCTCAAACCCCAAGCCGTGAGATCATGACCTGAACCAAAGTCAGACACTTCACCCACTGAGCCACCCAGGCGCCCCCCAAATTGAGTAACTTAAAACAGCACACAATTGTTAGCTCCTGGTTCTGTGGGTCAGCAATTTGGTCTGGGTTGGGCTCATATGGTGTCGTTCTTCTGCTGGTCTGGCCTGGCCCCACTCACCCTATGGCAGTCAGCTAGAAGCTTGGCAGGCAGGTTGGTCCAAGGTGGTCTCACCAACACATCTAGCAGTTGCTGCCAACTGTTGGGTGCACCTCTATCTGTAGCAGGCTAGACACGGACATCATTTTTTTTTTTTTAACAAAACTGGAAAAGCATGCGGTATGTTACGGCCAACTTATAACTTTCAAGCTGCCGAGGGAGAAGATTGATGGAGCTTGTTTTATGGGTACATTTTAATACTATTCCCCAGAGGCCTCATCAGCCATAGAATATTAGAGGCAAAAAAGAAAATAGACCATCCGTCTGTCTGGTTCAGGGAAGGCAAGTAGGTTTTATTTGAAGTGTCGACTCAACTGCTTGGTCCCAGGACTGGCATTAAAGGCTGATGTCTCAGGTGGGCGAGAGAGCAGTAGGTGGTTAGCCAGTTAGGCAAGTTGGCCATAGGGGAGGGATGGACAGTGGAGCGTAAGCACCACACATTGGCCATGGGAGACAGAGACCTCCGGAAGGATAGGGTTTGCATTTGATTCCTTTCAAGGAGTTTGCTAGAAGCAACTAGCCCTTCTCTGGCTCCAGCATTTAAAGACACCCTAGCACCTCTTTACATTCTTGACAAATGACTGACAAGTGATAAACTGTCTGCATAGGTTGTGGTGCGGGAACTGCTGGCTCGATATACCAAACAGCATCAAGAGAAGCCACTCTCCCCCTTCTTCCGAGACTGGGCTGAGTCTGAGAGTGACAAGCTGAGAACCAGGTACGTGACTGCTCAGGCTGTGACTGTCCTTGGCCCCCAGTGTCTTACTATCGAGCCTGAGTGCATGGAGCCTCGTCGTGGCACAACCACTCTTGTTGAAATTTTTAATATTCCATACGGACGAGCAATGCACGATTGTGGTAGCATCAGTGCTCGTTCACCCACTCCCCAACTTGAGAACCAGAACACCGTTAATTCTGTTCTTTCTCCTCCTGTGCCTCCTTCGTTGTGTGTCCACTGTTCCCAGCACTTCAGAGATTTTAAGCCTAAGTACCCCCATGAGGTAAGTTACTGTTTCCATTTCACAGATGAGGAAACTGAGGCATAGAGGTTATTTTGCCCATGGTTACTTGCTAGGGAGTGACAGAGCTAGGATTTGAATGCAGGTGGTTTGGCTTCAGGATCCATGCTTTTGCTTGTTTTTATTGATTTTTTTAGTGTTGTCTTTAAGCTTGATAAGTAAGGGGTAGCGTATGTGGTATTCTGTAGCTTCCTGTTTTCACTCTATTTTGTGTCTAAGATTCATCTCAGCTGTTATGTGTGTGGATGAAGAACTGTTCTCTTTGTTTATAATATTTAATCATGTGTATATGTCCCCATCTACGTAGCCATTCTAATAACCAACATCAGTGGACATGAGGGTTGTGCTTTTGATATTTTGCACAAAGCTCCCGTGAAAAATCTTGCACGTTTTCTGGGTAATATGTATAAGGGTTTCTACAGGGCCTTCAAATTTAGTTGCTGTGACTCAGAATAAGAAATAAATTTTACATCAACCACTGACGCCCACACATCCATAGAGCTCCCCACTCCACACACACCCCGAATCAGACAGCACCAAAGCAAACATCTCATGAAACCTTGCTTCTCCTGTTACTCATAATGATCTCTGATAGTTTTCAATTTTATTTTTTAAAAATACTGACCTCAATCCTTTAAACTGGTTTCACAACCAATTAGAGATGTGCAATCCGTTGTTTGAAAAACACTCCTCAGTAGTACATAGGAGTGAAAGTGCTGTGTTGTGGGGGGTATACCAGTGTTCAAGTTCACTAGATCAGAACAAATTATTTTTCAGAGTCATTTTGCAGATGTATACCTTCACCGGAAGCATGTGTCCTGTGGAACCATCCTCACCAACATGTGGGATTATCAGTCTTAATCAGCCTTAATACACACACACACACACACACACACACACACACACACACACACACACACGCAAAGATCTCTCACTGTGACTTTAAATTGCATTTTCCTTATTACTGTTAATTAAAGTTGAGCATGCTTTCACAAGTGTATTTGCCACTTTTATTTCCTCTCATGTGAAATGCCTGTCCATGTGTTTTGCCAATCTTTCTTTTTCTTTCTTTTTTTAAATTCTTACTGAGTTTTGTTGTTGTTGTTGTTGTTGTTTTTTATCCTTTGTTGTTACAGATGTTACAACTACCTCCTCCAAGTTTGTGCCTTGTCTTATATTTTCTTTATGGTGCCTTTTAACATAAATTCTTAAATTACTATTGAATTTATCAATCTTTTATATTCCACACTCTGTGCATCTTGTCTACTTTGAGATCATGAAATACCAGTTTGAGCGTTTCACCTTCCACATTTAATTCTCGAGTCCATTAGAGGTTTATGCCTGTAGTGTGAGGAAGGGATCTAACTTCATTTTTTTGCCTCCTGTAGGGAGTGTCTGTTGTTCCAGCACCACTTACCAAATTGACTATCTTTTACTAGTGATCTTCAGTGCCTGCTCTGGCATTCATATAGATTTCTACACATGTGGGAGGCTATTCTGGTGATGCTTCGTTCCTAGTCTGTTTGTGTATCCTAATCCAACAATACAATACATTGTTGCAATTATACTAGATTTGTAATTATAACCTTATATTATTGTATCTAAAATATAATTCAGAGGGGCGCCTGGGTGGTTCAGTCAGTTAAGCATCTGACTTCGGCTCAGGACATGACCTCCGGTTCATGGGTTCAAGCCCCATGTCAGCCTCTGTGCTGACAGCTCAGAGCCTGGAGCCTGCTTTGGATTCTGTCTTCCTCTCTCTCTGCCCCTCTCCTGCTCACACTGTCTATCTCTCTCTCTCTCTCTCTCTCAAAAATAAATAAACATTAAAAACAATTTGTTTTAATATAATTCAGAGTTGTGTTGACTTTTGCCCTTTCATACAAGTTTTGGAATCAGTTTGTTACATTTCTCAAAAAAAAAAAAAAAAAGAGAGAGAGAGAGAAAAAAAACAAAAAACAAAAACCTGCAGACACAAAAGGAAAATATTCTATGACTGTGGTTTTATGAGGCATCTAGGGTAGTCAGATTCATAGATACAGGAAGTAGAACATGGTTACAAGGGCTGGGAGGAGGAGAGAATGGGTGTTATTATTGAGTGGGTACAGAATTTCAATTTGTGATGATGAAAAAGTTCTGGAGAGGGATGGTGGTAAGGTTTGTGCACCATTGTGAATGTACTTAATGCCACTGAACTGTACTCTTGTATAGGGTTAAAATGATTGATTTTATGTGATGTATATCTTGCCACAATTTTTAAAAATCTGCTATAATTTTCTTTGAAAGTGTTTTGTCTTATAGCTTTGCAAAAAAATTGACGTATTTATAAAACTGACCCTCGTCTCAAAGATTTTCGTTTTCTAAGTGTTTTCCAGAAATTTATAATTTTTTCCATACATAGTACATTCTTTGATAGATTACTAGGTACTTTATGATTTTGTTATTGTAAAAAGAATAGTTTTGAAGTTATGTTTTTTTGTTGCCCATTTATTATAAATGCAGTTGACTTTTGTCTATAAACCTGATCATAAAAAATATTTCTTCTGGGTCTATAGATTCTTTGAGTGTTTTTTTAACACAGACAAGCACACCATTTGCAAATGATGACTTTTTATGCCTTTCTTTCCACTTTTTATTCCTTTTATTCTTTTTCATGTAGAAGGTGTTCTTTTGTCTTATTCCTGGTTTTAAAAAGACTTAGCTTAACGTTTCACTATTAAGAAGGATATTTGCTGAAGCTTTTGATAGATACAGTTTGCTTCCTAAGAAGCTCCACTTACTGTTATTTCTAATACATTTTTTGTCATTAGTAGGTGACAAATTTTATTGATTTTACTGCAAATGATTTTTTTGCATTTATTGAAATGATCTATTTCTTCCTTAACTTGTTAATGTGATAAATAAGCCTCATAAATCTTTTAATGTTAAACTACTCTTGGATGCTTGAGAAACATTCACTTTTGTTATGCTGCATCGTTGTTTTAATATTTTCCTGAGTTTGGCTTGCTAGTGTTGTTTTAGGGTTTTTGTTACTTATCGGCCTACTGTTTTCCTTTCTTGTAGTTCCCTGATTTGAATTCATGTCAAGTTTTACTGGTTTCGTAAAGCTATTTTGGGAGTAGTTTCTTATTTTGTGGGAGAATTTGATAAGCTATTTGAAAACTATCTGGGCCTGGGGGAATATTTAAACTACTAATTCAATTATAGTTGACCCTTGAACAAAACGGGTTTGAACTACAAAGGGCCACTTACATGCAGACTTTCTTTGATAAACATAATACAGTACTGTAAATGTATTTTCTCTCCCTTATGATTTCCTTTTTTTTCCCTTTTTGAAAATGTTTCTTTATTTTTGAGAGAGAGAATGACAGATTGCAAGTACAAGAGTGGCAGAGAGAGGAAGACAGACTCTGAAGCTGGCTCCAGGCTTTGAGCTGTCAACCTAGAGCCAACTTAGGGCTGGAACTCGCGGACTGTGAGATCATGACCTGAGCCGAAGTCGGACGCTCAACCAACTGAGCCACCCAGGCGCCCCTCCCTTATGATTTTCTTAATAACATTTTCTTTTCTCTAGTTTACTGTACTATAAGAATATAGTATATAATACATGTAGCATACAAAATATGTGTTAATTGATCGTTTTTGTTATTGGTAAAGCTTCCAGACAACAGTAGGCTATGAGGAGTTAAGTTTTGGGTGAGTCAGAAGTTATATGCAGATTTTCGAGTGCACAGGGGTCAGGGTCCCGACCCTCATGTTGTTCCAGCATCAAGTGTAGTTTAATTGTTTTAAGACCATTTAGGCTTCCTCTTCTCGTGTCAGTTTTCATAAATAATATTTTCTAAGAATTTATCCACTTAGATTTGAATTTATTTGTATAAGGTTTTTCATACTGCTCACTGATTATCCCTTTAACTTCTGCTAGATCTGTAGTTATGTCCCATTTGTCACTCCTAGAATTAATGTCATGTGCTTTCTCTCTCCTTTTTTGTTGCTTAATCTTACCAGATGGTTGTTTGTTGTTGTTGTTGTTGTTTTAAACAACCAACTTTCCTCTTTGTTGATCCTCTCTGCGGTAACTTTGTTTTTTATTTCATTGATCTATGCTCATAAATGTTTTGTTTCTTACTTTTGAGGAGTTTATTGTGCTTTTCAATTTTTGTGCGTTTTTTAAATTGTTATTTTTATTTGGAGGAAGATTATTGGTCTCCATAACTAAAATGTGTTGAACTAATTTCCAAGGAAACTATTTATTTTAAAATGTCATTTAGGGGTGTCTGGGTGGCTCAGTAGGTTAAGCATCGAACTCTTTATTTTGGGTATGTCATGATCTCATGATTCATGGGATTGAGCCATATATCGGGCTCTGTACTGATAGCATAGATCCTGCTTGGGACTCTCTCTCCCTCTCTCTGTGCCCCCCCCAACCCCCGCCCTGCACTCACTCACATATGTTCTCTCTCTCTTTCTCTCAAAATAAATAAACTTAAAAAGAAAAGAAAATGTCATTTTATCACCCTGATTTAAAACATGGGAAACAGGTGCCTGGGTGGCTCAGTTGATTAAGTGTCCAACTTCAGCTCAGGTCATGATCTCACAGTTCATGAGTTTGAGCCCTGCATCGGGCTCTGTGCTGACAGCTTGGAGCCTGGAGCCTGCTTCAGATTCTGTGACTCCTTCCCTGTCTGCCCCTCTCCTGCTCACACTCTGTCTCTCTCTCTCTCTCTCTCAAAAAAAAATAAAAATAATAAAAATAAATAAAACATGGGAAACACAATAAATAATAGTGTGTGGCACTTTTCATGTCTATTAGCATAAAGTGAAATTAAGAAATATGTAATTTGTCCTTTTTTTTCTTTTTTCTCTCTCCCTTTCTTTCTCCCTTTCTTTCTCCCTCTCTTTCCTTCCTTCCTTCCTTCCTTCCTTCCTTCCTTCCTTCCTTCCTTCCTTCATACTGGTCATGTTCCTGTTTTTTCAAACTCTAATCTATCTTAAAGCTTGAAAACATCAGGTCCCATATTCTAGGATTGTTTCACTTAACTCGTTATTAGTTGTAATGTCTCAATTTGTCCTTGCACGTTCTGTAAAGCCACTGCGTCTTTTTAATATTTCTAGCCCTGAGTGGGCAATGGATAGTACTGTTAGCTTCCCCCTCCCCCCACAATTCTTCAGTTTGAAAATTATCCAACATATAAGGAGTTGAAAGAACAGTACAACTCCCATCGGAATCAGCTCCATTCGTTCAGGAAACTTGTTCCCAAACTGACAGCACATCATCTGCCCTTTCATTTCTTTTCCACATAGCAGAGCAGGGCTCGTTTCCATCATTTTGAAGGCACAGCAGACCCTCACCCATATGCAAATTTATATTCATGGCAAATTTTCCGGGATAGACTTGAGATGTGCCAAAGGCAGTATTCCACTTGTAAATATTTGGAAAGTTCCAGTCCATTTATTTTTGTCTCGCTTATTAACCTCTAAAACAGTATACATCTCTGTCGCACACATCCAGGTTTTACTGATTCAGTCTGTTTATCTACTTACATCCCCAAACCTTGCTCTGGTTTTTATGTATCTTGAGAAAAGCCTTTATCGTCCAACATGTTTTCAGTGCCCTGGGCACTTCTGTCAGCGTTGGTGATGCAGCAGTGACTGTGGGTTCTCAGCCTTCATGGAACCTACAATCAGATGGCGGTCATATTGACAACTCATGAGAGACGTACCCACAAGCAGGCGGGGGCATGAAGAAGGATGGGCTGAGGACTTCCGGGTGCCCTGAAATGCCTCCAAGTAGGCAGTCATTTGTGTGGACACTCAGAAGCTACCCATTCATCTGGACTGTGGGAGGAATTAGTCTCCAGAGACTAGGTGAGGGAGGCAGGGCGTGGCTCTGAGAGTGGCTATAGCTGGTTATGCAAACAGCTGAGTTCTGTCCCCTTGTCCTGATGAATGCTGCCTCTCCCCTCCCCCTGGGACTGCCTCTCCCTCTCTCCCTGGAGCTGCCAGCAGAGCTCTGGCTGCCCTCATCACCCCCATGGATCCTTAGGAGGTGTGGGAGCTGAGGAAGTTGAAGTTCTGCATTATGCTGAAAAGTTTTACCATGTTGTATTATGAACATTTTCAAGTATTGACCAAATTGAAAGACGTGTAGTGAACATTCATAAACCCACCATATAGATTCTACTATTAACATGTTACTGTGCTTGTTATATCACATGTATATCCATGTATCAGTTCCTCAGCGCACTTATCAATTCATCTTTTTTTCCCTGATGCATGTCAAACTAAACAGCTGGCATCAGCATACTTCTAAGTGATTCAGCATGAACATTATTCACTAGAGTTCAAAATTTGATTACAGTTTTTTTCTTCCTTTGTAGAACTTACATACAGTGAAATGCACAAATCTTAACTGTGCATTAACTGAATTTTGACAAATGCAGATATATACCTGTATAACTCTTGTTAAGTAATAGGTCACTAGCACCACTCCAGAAAGTTCTCTTACGTCCCTTTTCAGTCATTTCCTGTGACCACCTCCCCAGATGCAGCCACTAATCTGATATTTTTCTACCACAGATTAGTTTATCCTGTTTTAGAATTTCGTATAAGTGGAACCATACGGTATGTATTTTTTGTGGCTGGCTTACTAACATGACATAATGCTTTCTGAGATTCATTCATGTTGTCATGTGTTCTAGCTTCTTCCTTTTTATTCCTGAGTAGTATTCTATTTTACGCATATACTAGGATTTGCTTTCCATTTTCTTATTGATGGAGAGACACATGGGATGTTTTGAATTTTTCATTCTTCTGAGTAGCTCTGCTGTGAATATTCATATGCAAGCCTTTTTGTGAAGATATGTTTTTATTTCTCTTAGGTAAATAGTAGGAGTAGAATTGCTGGGTCATAGGGTATGTGTTTCTTTAGTTTTATGAGAAACTATGAGAACTTTTTCCAAAGTGGTTAGCCATTCTACACCTCATCAACAAGTATGAGAGTTCTGGTTGCTCCATATCCTTGTCAACATTTGATGATGTCAGTATTTTAATTATAGTCATTCTGGTGGACATATAATGCTACCTCGCTGTGGTATTCATTTGCATTTCCTTGATGACTGATGATGTGCATTCAAATTTAACTTAAATTTAGAGTCATTTTGACCTTCTTATAAAATACAAGGAGGTTGCCTTTAGCGATATCCCTAATTTTAAGAGTCTTCACAGTTTTTTATGCTGGGTGAGTTCCTAAAGCTATGTGATGTGGTTGTGCTTGGCATGTGACTCATGATAGGGCAGGTGGATGAGATCCACATCCTGTAGCACATGTAGTTCACAACCGCAAGTGGATAGTATTCCACAGTAAACATTACAAAAAAGATAGGTTCTAATAACAAAATTCACAGTCTCTAGGCTTCATAGTAAGTCTCTAGAATGACTGAAACATACTTTTCAATACAATGTGAGAGTTCTTTCACTTTTTGTTAAGTAAACTAGGACAGAAGCTCAACTTTCTAATGACCAGATTCAGAATAAGTATTGATACAAGTTAAATTTCCTGATAATTGGCATGAAAATGACCTCCCATCTTTCCTGTCTACATGGAGGGAAATTATTAATTCAGTGCTTGGCATTCTCAAAAGCACTGTATCAATTGCTTCTTAATGTTTCTCTTATGGCTTCTGATTAAGCAACAACAGCTACTTGTGGGTTTAATTTTAATTAATGAAACTCTAAATTATTTGGGTCTTATGACAATTTATTTTCCAAGAATATGGGGCGAGGGGGCCACAAAGGTGTGGCTAAGTTATGGGAAGCCATAAGTGTGAATTAAGCCCTTCACTGTCTGTCCAAGTTCCAAAGACAGAAGTTTCATGGGGCAGAGGATGGGAGGGTGCAAAATTAGCACAAAAGGCAGAGCCACATGAAAAGCCTGCAGGGCTTTAAGGGAGACAGGTGTTTTGAGTCTCTTTGTGCCAAAGTCTCTTACCTCCCCTGTGCCTCAGTTTCCTCATTGCCAGATAGGGAAGATAGAAATGACTACCTGCTGAAGAGAGTCATTATCTCTGCAGGACACTCTACCCTACACTTGCCCACAGCCCGCTCACTGACCTCTTGGCCTCCTCTTTCCTCAAATACAAGTGTTCCCTAAGACAAAACGTGAGCCTGAGCGTGTTCTGCCCATGTGACCTTGAGCAGGTTGCTGAAACTTGCTGAGCCTCAGTTTCCCAAACTATACATTGAATAATTATACTATCCGCATCGTAGAAATTTTGAGATTGTTGAATAATTCACAGCGGTAATTAGCACAGGTCCTGATACATTATGTGTTTAAGAAATGTTAGCCTTTGACAAATACTTTGTGACAGATGTATTTGATGAGCAATAGTCACTTGTAATCATTAGAACAAATGCCCAACAATGGTTGAGAAAATTATCATAAACCCAATGGATGCAAATTATATAGTTCTTAATGAAGAAAGACTATATGAAATATTGACTAACTATCTCTAATACAATAGTAAGTGAAAAGAAGCAGGAAGCCATATTATCTTTACACCATAAGGACAACCACATAGGATAAACTAGAGGCAGGTACCCATCAGAATATCGAAAGAAGCATGAATACAGCGAGTGAGAGACGTGAAGGGGGCCCAACTGTACTTACACTACTTTTCTATTGAAAAAAAAAATTTATTTTTGACAGAAAAAACCCTGTCTGTTTTTCTCAAATTGAATTCTTTGGTGAGGACAAAATAATAATAATGGTCACTGTGTTTTTCCGTCAGTTTCTTGGCATTTGATGTGGACACAGTCGGTAATCTCGCCTTTCTGTTGAAAGCAGTGAATTTTCGTGAAAGGGCTCTTCGCCGGAGTTTGGTGGCCAGAATTCATTACAAGGTAAAGATACGTTTTGTGTGTGTGTGTGTGTGTGTGTGTGTGTGTGTGTGTGTGTTTCTTTTTTTCCTTCTGACATGTGTTTAAGGCATATTCTTGCTGGTGAACTATCTGCTAAATGTAGTAGAGGATGAGTCAGGGTAATTAGAAGCTTCTGGAAGTGGCTGGAGTTCCTACAGGGCATTTGTCTGCCCTGAAAGCCCCGCTTGCTCTGAGGCCCTGATGCTGCTGTTGAACCCTTTTGTGTTGACTTTTCAAATTCTGCCCGCAAGCCATCATTTGGCTGCCATCGAAGTTGATGACTGGAATAATTTTTAGCCCTTATTGGAATTGAAAAATCATGGTCTCTGTGTTAAATGGACACATTGTTCTCTGGGGGAAAAATGTACATCGGATATATTTAAAAAATAACCATTGGGAGCGCCTGAGTGGCTCAGTCAGCTGAGCGTCCGACTTCAGCTCAGGTCACGATCTCATAGTTCGTGAGTTCGCACTCTGTGCTGACAGCACAGAGTCTGGAGCCCACTTTGAGTTTTGTGTCTCCCTCCCTCTCTGCCCCTCTCCTGCTCATGCTCGCTCTCTCTCTCTCTCTCTCTCTCTCTCAAAAGCAAACATTAAAAAATTTTAAAAAGAACAATTTTACTCATTTGGCCTTTCTTAAAATTATTCAAAGACATGCTCTATAGGACATTTAAAAAAATCAAAATTAATAGCTCCAACATAAGGAGGCCAAGATATAAAAGGATTTGTGGTCCCCCTAAATCCAACCAATAAGTAGGTGTTTTTTTAAAACTAGTTACAAAGTTCAGGGGTGCCTGGGTAGTTCAGTCGGTTAAGTGCCTGACTTCGGCTCAGGTCATGATCTCGCCGTTCCCAAGTTAAAGCCCCACGATGGGCTCTGTACTGACAGCACAGAGCCCACTTCAGATCCTCTGTACCCCTCACTCTCTGCCCCTCCCCCTTCTTGTACTCTGTCTCTCTCAAAAATACAAGAAACATTTAAAAAAATAAAAAAAAAATAGTTGCAAAGTTCAGAATCTAAAAATGTGTTTAGGGGAAAAACATGAATTAAAAAAATTTGACTCACTGGTTCTACTCTAAATAGATTGGGTTTATAATATATTTTAAGGTGAGATAGAAGCTAGAGTAAAAACATGCTCAATCTCTTACTTTAATTGCAGGGTAGGCAAAAGACACTGTTTTGTTCTGACTTTGATCATTAAAGGAACCTAGATTAAGATACGTCTCATTACATTGAAAGTTAATATGAGTACCAAACACAGGATGCCTGTTATCCAAATCGCTACAGAAGACACAGCAAAGATAAATAAACGACCAGAAGCTTGTGTAATCAGAGGCAGAGCAAGGAACGAATTAGAAAGCATGTTCTTGGGGTCCTTAAAGATTCCCCAGCACTGCTCTTTTTTTTTTTTGCTCTGCCTGCATCATGCGAGAGGGCTGTTTTAAGAGGGCTCCTTGGTTTGAGAATTTCTCCGGGATTGCTTCTTGAAATCTGCTTCCTGATCATTGTGACATCCCCTTGACTCTTGTCTGATTTGGCTAAGTGCAAGTCCTCTGTCTCTGGCCCCAAAAGATTAACAATTTGGTCTTCAACTGCACTGATCTGGTAATTACTTGAAAACACCTTTTCCATTACAACATGATCCCTAAATTCAGTCCACAAAAAAATCATGGGAGAGGCATCTTCTCATACATTTCCATTATAAAGAGCCTTAAATCCCTCCAGCATCCGCCTTTAGATTAGAGCATTAGATTTAAAATGGCCTATAAAATGAATGAGTTTTAGTTCTCCTAATGAAAGCATACATGCTTAGTTTAGAAATAAATCTAATTATATACATTTTATATAGAAAAATCTAATTGTATATGTTGATGTATACTTATATACATCAAAACAAAAATGATTTTTAAAAAAAGTACAGATTGGGCAACAGCAAGATATTTTCAGATGTCTTTCAGAAGGTTGGTGTTTTAGTCTACTTGGGCTGTCATAACAAAACACCACAGATTGGTTGGCTAAACAATAGGAATTTATTTTCTCACAGTTGTGGAGGCTAGAAGTTTAAGGCCAAGGTGTCAGCAGGGTTGGTTTCCTCTGAGGTCTTCCCCATGGCTTCCAAATGGTGGCCCTCTTGATGTCTTTTCACACGATTCTCCCTCTGTGCATGCCCTTCCTGGGGTCTGTTCCTCTTCTAAGTATATCAGTCAGACTAGACTGGGGCCCCATCCTAATGGCCTCATTTTAACTTAATCACCTCTTTAAAGACTTTATCTCCAAAGAGCATCACATTCTGAGGTGCTGCAGATTGAGAGTTTCAAGTATGGATTTTGGAGGAAACATAATTCGCCTCATAACCGTTAGTGATGGTGATCTTACAAAAAATGCAAAAGTGTGAAACAGTACACAGCCAAATTGATGATGCTATAACTGTGAACTTTTATGTGCCAAATAACATATATCTGTGGTAGCCAGCTTCCAACGTACCCCCAAGAATCTTTCCCTTTGGTATTTACACCCTTGCGTAGTCCTTTCCCATATTGTACCAGAATTGGTCTGTGTGACATACAGCAGAAGTGATGACATGTCCCCTCTGAGATGAGATTATTAAAATAACAAACAAACATGGTGACTTCCATGTTGGTCACTCTGTTGCTCATTCTTTCTCTCTTTCTTGGATTACCCACCCTGTGGGAAACCTTGTCTTAAGTTTTAACTGACTTAAGTTTTAACCTGGAGATACATGAAGCCAGAACTGCCCTGCTAAGCAGCTTCTGCATTCCTGACTTCCAGAAACTCTGTGAATAATGAGCGTTTGTTTTAATCTGTTAAATTTGGGGGCAATGTGTTACAGAGTAATAGATACCTCACACAGATTTGGGCACCTCAAGCTAGGTGATGATGTAACCTAGCTTGTAACTCAAAATGTGGGTGTGGTCTTGGAACCAGGAGTGAGCTTAGAGAAGAGTCTTAGAGAAGAAGAGCTCAATAGAAGCCTAAAATGCCTTGAAGAAATTGTTCATAGAAGCCGTCTGGGCTTTGATAAAGCTGTGGGTGAGGGCTTATAGGAAAGTGAGTAAATATTATTGGAAACTGGAGGAAAGGGGATTCTTGCTATGGAGCGGCAGAACTTAAGCAACACTGTTGTGTCTGTAGTGATACAGAAAGTAGAAAACATACCTCAGCGCCTGAAAGTGTCCACAGGGCCTGCTTTCTTCTGGCTGCTTAGAGTACAACGCCAAAAGACAGAGAGAAGCTGAAGGAAACAGTGTTTAACAGGAAGGAACGAAGACTTGCCGTGGTTTTGAAGATTCCCAGGCTCACCATATTGTAATTCGTTTCTTGTGGCTGCCGTGACAAAGTACCACAGGGGTGGTTCCTGGCAACTGGTGTTCCTTGGCTTGTCTCCGCATCACTCCAATCTCTGCTTCTGTCACCGTGTGGCCTTCTTCAGTCTGTGTGTCTATATCTTCTTTTCTTCTTATGGGGACCCCGAGTCATATGGACTAAGGCCGACCCTACTCCAAGGATGACCTCATCTTAACTTGCAAAGACCCTATTTCCAAATAAGGTGTCATTCACAGATACTGGGGATTAGTGCTTCAATATATATTTTTGGAAGACCTAATCCTACCCAAAAGAAACATAGAAGATGGCTTCAGAGCAAAGATATAATCCAGAGCACTCTCAGGAATGCACGGTCGAAAGATAAAGCCCAAGATGTAAGTGAAATCCTTTTAAGAACTGGGAAAGATCAAAGATGGGTCTTCAGTAGGGCAAAAGGCCCTCTGAAGAGATTAAGGGTATGCCTCACAGATCTTTTCAGTCCAACTGTAGGCTTCTAGGGTGCTTTTAAAGGCATCCTTCTTTAGCCTTCTCCACACCCCGAAGGCCTATCTCAAAGAGATTTGTGGATATGGATTTTTTTGTCTAATGGACTGAACCCCAAAAAGGATTCACAGAAGACGTATAAAGTTTCTAAGAGAATTATATCAGTCACATTTTTCAGTTTGTGCTGAAAGGTACAGAGATAGCACAAAATGAATAGAGCCTTTGGGCCGTGAAACTTCTACAAGCTGAGAGCAGGCTGAGAAAACTACTCAGTCACAAAGATGCGGACCTTTCATGATAATGGAAAGGATGCCTCAGAGGAAAAAACCAAGGGCTGTGGAGAATAAAAACAGCTGGACGGGGGTAGGACTGAATCTTAATTAAAAAAAAAAAAAACACTTCTGACATTTGATCAGCTGGATTTCAGAATTTCTATGGATCACTGACCCCTTTATTCCTCTCACTTTCTTCCCTTTTGAGCATGAATATGTATAGTGGTTATCCGGTCCTCTCCCACTATTGTATATTGGCCATGTACAGCCAGATACAGATAACTTGTCTCTTCAAAGCCTTCAAATCAGTTTTTAAGAGACTCTTAAAAACTGAGAACAATCTGGGGGTTGATGGGGGGAGGGAGGAGAGGGTGGGTGACGGGTATTGAGGAAGGCACCTGTTGGGATGAGCACTAGATGCTGTATGAAAACCAATTTGACAATAAATTTTATATTTAAAAAAAAGCCTTCAAATCAAAAGGAACTGTACTTAAGGAGTGACATCTTGGAAACCTAATCTGTACCCAGGCTAGACTTAGATGATGGGATTCTGGGATTTGAATCACTGCTGTAATGGGATGAGATTTTTGTGGCCCTTGGGAAGGGATGAGGATGGGCTGTGATAGAATCCAAGATGGCCTTCAAGGATCCCTCCCTCCTGCTGCTCACATCCTTATACATTGTGCCAGAGCTGGTCTGTGCAACCAATAGAATACAGTAGAAGTAATGGGATGTCCCTTCTGAGATCGTGTTAAAAAGACACCATGGCTTCTGTCTTAGTTTCTTTCTCTCTGTCTCTCCCTCACTCTGAGGAAAACCATGTCATGAGCAAGAACTTTGGCAAAGAACTGAACCGTCTTGACAAAAGCTATGTGAATGAG